CGAGGAAATTGTTCAATAGATCGAAATGGGCCAATGTCCTGTTGAGATCTTTCGCGATATCAGCAAGACATTTGAATGTGTTGCTCACCATAGATCATAAATGATTTGGTTCAATATGTAATCTATAGAGGCAAATAACTGTAGAAACAATTTTTCATCCGTACTCACTACAAATAATGTACGTGATACCACTTTCACATTTCGAAAAGAGATTGTATTGTTTACCCCTGCTCATTGTTTTAGTGCTTGAACTACCACTACCATGAACAAAATGTGTAGATCATGCATATTTTTTCTCAGTTACAAACTGGAAGAGAAAAACCATTTCGTAATAAGTACTTTCATGTCAACATCGAGTTACCTGAAAATATCTTTTTCCTATTCAGTTTGTACTCCAAACAGATATTATAGATAGGGACGCTACACAACTTAGTATACGAAAGATATGGTGTACTTCTTGAAGTTCCAGGTTGAAAACTCAACTCGTCTTCAGCACGTTTCTGAACTTTCAAAGACGAAAGCAAGCGTGCGACTATATGTTACCGAAAGAGGCAATTCTGCTCTTGTCACGATGACAGATCGTTCACATGTTAATTTATTCGTTCCCATCAATAACAAATTCGCAATATTTGAAAAAGGAATATTTGTAAAGGAGAATCGTTTTGGGGGAAAATATTTTTACTATTAACTTCCTCATTTTCAAATAAAAATGTGTGAAACTTCCAAAAGGCTTTCTTTTCAAAAACTAACTTCTTTTAAGAAATGTTAACCTTTACTATTCAAACGAAATTCCTATGACTGAAATTGAATCAATAACGTATGAAAGACTTTAAAAACCTCTGAACAGGATTCAGACCACAGCATAGTACCACCACGGCTGTTCTGTCAATTACCCGCGATCTTTTCAAAGCTGTAAATGATGAGAATGTGACCCGTTTAGTACTTCTGGATCATAGCGAATCCTTCGACAATATTCATCACTTAGTGTCACTCTTACAAAACTGAAGAATCGTACTCAAAGAGTTGTTGTGAATAGAGTTGTATCGAATACTCTACCGGTATCAAAGGGAGAGCCACAAGGATCTATCCTTGGACCCTTGCTTTTTTTAGCTTGTACATCTGCGATTTTTATCGTTTTATAAAAAAATGCAATAAACATCACTATGCCCCGACAAGTAGTTATATTTCTCTTTTCCGCTTCGTGATTCTACTTTTGCTCAGTTATATATCAATAAGGATTTTCAAACCATCTTTAACATTTCTACAGCTCAAGCTCAATCCTAATAAATTTGCGATAATGATGTTTGGATCCAAGAAGAACAGAGTGCTCACCAACTCCACTTTTAAAGTGCCCATCGACAATAAAATACTTTCCTCCGTGACCGAGATGAAAAACTTAGGATTGTGGTTTGATCCAGAACTCCGCTTGACTAATCATGTCAGCTATCTGAACCAAACTTATTATAACTTCCTCAGGCAGCTATTTCCAAATCGTGATTTGCTCAACACAAACTTGAAACTGCGACTATGCGAGTCACTGATCATGTCAAAAATTTCTAATTGCGACAGTATTTATGGACCTGCTTCAAGACAATCGGATGATCTTTGTCTACAGGGTATTCAGAATAGTTGTCTACGTTTTTCGTTTGGTATCCGGAAATATGAATCGAAGAGGTTTTTGTATGAAAGTGTATAATTATAAAATTATTGCAAAGCGCTTTCGACTTTCGTCATCATCAGTAGTCACCTGAAAGTAAGTGATCTAATTGAAGTTTTATGAAAATTAAAATTTGACTTCCCCTTCATAAAAGGATTATGAATTTTCAATTAATTAAATTTTACTAAAATTCTTTATTCTAGATTGGCTTCTCCACAACATAATTATTTTAAATTCATAATGGATCACTCCTCAAGTTGATACCATTATTTCAACATGACACTTGACACATCCTGTCTCAAGTTGCCCTTCTTTCATATAATACTTTGACTGAACCACATGGCTATCAGCCTATTTTGTTTTATATAAGTCAAATATTAGAAATGTGCCATGTACTCATTTTGATACTTCCTGTTGCCTGACAAGTAAGTAATCATAAACAGTTTTCCAATTTTTTGCAAATTTTAATTTTCACAAAACTTTCTCTTCAATTAGATCACTTACTTTATAGTGAGCACTGATGATGACGAAAGTCGAAAGCGCTTTGCAATAATTTTATAATTATACACTTTCATACAAAAACCTCTTCGATTCATTCATTCAATAAGTGTATTCAGCTTCCCAAATCTATTCATTCGGGAAATATGACCATATATCTTCAGCCATGCAAGAATCAGGATGCTCGAGAACTGAGAAACTTAGAACACTGCATTCACTCACCAACACACATAAAGTTTTGATATCTCGTCAACCTGATTACTTACTGAAAAGGCTTAGAACATTCTCAACAATAAATAGTTTTACCATTCAGTCATCTTCAAACAAATTTTCTATCGTCACCCGCTGCTTCTCGTATGATGCATCTAAACATTACAGTCAACTACCCGGTGAGGTTAGATCTTATACAATAAAGAACATTAAAAAAAGACTGTCTCTTGTCCGTTACCGACCTTAGCATTACAAAAAAATTTCCTATACAGGTTGCATAAATTTTGTTAACTCGACTTATTTGTCATTGTTTGATAATTATTGCTATTTCCAGGTTGAGTTGAGAAACAACTTTGGCTAATACTCCGTCTACTCACCTTTATAGTGAAAGTTGTTTCTTTTCCCTTTTTTTTGTCTGTTTTAATTGTACTTTTATGGTGAAAAAAGACGTATTATTATTATGAAAGCAAAATTTTGGTTATAGGTACTCATCATTAACGTTGTTATACCTATATGATATTATAGCGTATAAAAACTGAATAAGAGGAATGAATTTTCGTGTAACTGAATGGTCTTATGAAAGTAGTTGTTTCAAAAGGTTTGAAAGGGTTTTTTCTTCCAGTTTATATCTGAAAGAAACTTCTGTGCAATATCTACACATCTTTGTGAAGAGTTTATTTTAAACTCATTTGTTTTTTTCCTTTCTTCGTAGGTTTCCTGTATGTTTTATTTGAAAAAGAGGAAGCAGATAGCCAAATACTGTCTCCAAACCGCTATTATTTGATCAGAACATTGAAGTATAACATAAATTTTTCATTTATGTTTTCGAGCGAATCAAAGTGGCCAAGATACATGTCATTGATAATAGAATTACATGAAACGGGGGAATAATTCTGTCACTCTAAAAAAATGTGTGCGTCTCGGGACGCCCGACAGAAGTGAATTTTTAAACCACGTGTTTTACATAATAAAAGGATATTTCGTTCTTACTGGTTAGATTTTTATAATGCTGTCAACGGTATATGTCTATGGCACACTAAACACTGAGCGTCTGTCGACGAGAGAGGAGGAGCTTGCCTTCCGCTGACGTATGTGTGGAGCTGTAACGCGTTAGGTAACGAACCGGTTTACCCTTCCATAAGAAGTTATCACTTAAGAAATGTAATAGGGTAAAACTAAGTATCCCGAATCGTCTACCTCTTATAATTTCACATATAGTAAATACCTTTTATAAATTGTTGTAGCTTACAATCTGTAAAGGAAAACGACTACAAGTTCTCAATTTTATATATTGAAGAGAACTAAACTGATTTATGTCATTTCACAAAATTTATAATAACGCGGAAGCGGACCAGTTTTTTCCTGATTAAAATGTAAACATTTTTGAAATGTGTCGTTTATAAAAGGAAAAAAAAGTCTGAAAAGTGGCTAAAGTGGCAAAAAATTATTTTTTTTTAAAATGCCCTACTCGATAACAATATGAGTTACAAGATACTTTATGTCTCACCAATTTGTAATCTTCTTCGTGGTATAGTTGTCAGAACTATACACTTGAGTGCAAGATGTGGTGGGTTCAATCTTGGACACAAGTCTCATTTAAAAATGTTTGTCTCAATTTTCAAACTGTTTGATATTGCATAAAACAACAAAAAACGTTCTGAACACTTTTTCAGGTTCCTTCTTAGTATGAAATTTAATGATATTTATCCCATTTTGGATTTTCTTCACATTCTTCACATTCTTCTTATTTCGAAATATTCCTGTTGCAAGGCATGAAAAAGTATAGTATTCTACTCGCTAGAAATGGTCATTACTCGCTCGAATGATTTACAATCTTCATATACACCCGTAGTATGATTGAGATGTATTTTCTCTACATAATGGAGTATAACTTTACCATATGGTTAATACGTTCTTATTTGAATATTGATCTGATGAATTGTTTGAAATACTGGGCACACCGTACTCAATTCAATAGAGACGGTGATAGCCTGACACAGAAATAGATTTGAATAATAGTACCAAAACAAACAATGACTCTCAAAACGAGCAAAATCCCGAAAATTGCTATTTTTAAACAAACTATGAACAAAATATATCTCTAATTAGAATAATTTTGTGTACAAGTAATCATATCTAAAATAATACTTCTTTATATTTTAGAAATGGCAGCTAATTTGTATTTAATATGATGCGTTTCTTTATCAGAAATAAAAATCATCTTCCTATTAATTCACGCAAAAAATATAAAATTTTCAGTTGAGACGTCCTCCCAAAAAACTAATTAAAAGTGGAGCAGAGTCCCTGAAATATTCAAAGTAGAGGAATTTCGTGTACGATGAAAAAGTACTTGTGGAGTATGGAATGAAATTTGGTATTCCATTCTTTGAGATATCATTTTAATGAAAATATGAAAAAAATCATGCATTTTAGTGGTCGATCGACATTATCCTGTTAGAATATTAATATTATTGTTTTACCTTCTACAATACTGAGCAATGTTCAACATTAAAACTGTCTTTCGCTTACATAAATTTGGCAAGCTCAGTCGACCATTTTCCCGCTGTAAACATTCGACTGAAAATTCCACGGGCTCCCCACCTAAATCTTATTAACACAAAAACACCAAACCTACCTCATGAGAGGGCTACTGGAGGCCGACATCTTTATCAATTGATGAAACAAGGAACTGCCGAAACATTCCTTCCGATTGCGAATTGTCGTGCGTGAAATTTCAATAACGACACGGCCGCATACCGTACCACATCGACGCCAGACTGACACGCTCATTTGGCGTCGTAGGGAAGCGACGTCCGACGTCTCTCAACTCTTACGTAATCAGGGTACATGCGCATCCCGATCCCCGGTAGGCCAACTTTCAGGCCCGTTGAACGGAAAAACATATCTCTTCGCGTGCGATCAGTTGGCATGTATGTACAGGGCGATGTTTCGCAGTGTACGGTACAGCTGCAATCTTTAGATAGATTAAAAAAGTTGACCAACTCCTAGTGGAGACTGCAGAGCAAATAATCTGATTAATGCCGTAATAGATATTGAATTAGGTGCCTCATAAATGTTGATTTGATTGGGGCATAGCAAATTTGAAATAACAACGAATACTGCCAACCATCGAGATGAAGATCATTCCCAAATGGCGAAGAACTAAAAATGCTCCTCACTGAGATATATGTGAACTTAGAAACTCAACTACGATAGACTGTTAAAACGGAAAACTATTTTGATTTGAAACTAATAAATTGTGTAAAAACCAAATCTAGAAACAATTCAGTTGGAAAACTGCTATATTTGAAGAATCTTCTCATATGTAATGAAAGGCAAACTGAAAAGTTCACCAAGAAATGATAACGAATTTAAAGTACTAGGCCGGGGATGAACTAAACTAGGGCAAGTGTAATAACAAATATATGGTGAGGAAATACATGTAGCAGGTCCTCGACATTTTAACTAATTTGACCGAAGAAGAACTGCTGAACATCCATCGAAATCCACCATAGTAACATTCACAAAGAGGCACAAAATAGAGAACCTCTAAAATCTAAAACTTCGGTTTGAAGTAATACAATACATTCTGACAAAAAAAATTAAATTATAGGATTGAAGCCTACAGAATTATTTTTGCATGCCGATCAGAATTCAATTTGTTTTATTAAATTAACAAAAGCAAACTTAAAATTAAGGACAATGTTGAGATAACAAAAAAATGTGAACGAAAGCGAACGAAGAAAAAAGTAATATTTAGTTGGAACACAATTATTTTTTTCCTTCAGTCGTTGGTCGTATTAATACTTCCTGTCATCAGCCAACTAAAATATTAAGAAATGTATATCTTGCTTCAATCATTGTGACTGTATATGTTCGATCAACGTATCGATTGAACTTATTCAGGTAGAATACATGTCCTACAAAACTCGTGCTTACATTTATTTATTCAATTCAGATAAAGGTGGTTGAATGTGATTAATCGAAAACCGAAAACCATATTCTAGTTGGCACTTCAAAGCTTTATCGCGAAAAATTACCCATCTGTTCATTCATAAGATAAGATTAAGGGAGATATTTGTAATGCTAACATTAAATATAAAAGCACAATTATTCCACATTCTCGAATTATCTTAAATGGAATGCAGACATAAAGTAATAATACTATTCGTAACTATGACCTGAGTATAGCTTACACTGATATTGTTCAGTTGGCAATCAGAATAGGACAGTAAAGCTGTCAAACGCAAAGTTGACAAAACGAGCTTTCTGAGCAAGTTGACAAGATATGAGCTAGTGATTCTAAGTAGTTGGAAAATAGGGCATAATCGTGCCTACTACCATACTCGTAGTTACTTCATCATATTTATTAGGACGCGTATTCATATGTGCCATTGATCTGTAACGAAACACTGTAATATCTGGGCTGTAAAAGTACCGGGCCTATCACATAGATGGCGCTTGTTTTATTGCATTCACCGCTTTTTCAGTTAGTACTAACTGATTTGATTTTACACTGCTTCTTGATAGGCAAAAAAAAAATTTGTTCCATCAAAACTATATGAATTGAGCTTCGAATTGCTCCCACATCCACCGTATTCACCAGATTTGGCTCCCAGCGACTACTAGCTGTTCGCAGACCTCAAAAAAAATTCACTGCTGAAAAATTTCGTTCGAATAAAGAGATTATTGCTGGAACTGAGGCTTATTTCGAGACAAAAGAAGAAGAAAATGTTGAGCGGCGCTGGAATCATTGTGTCGTTTATGATGGAAATGTTATGATATCTAAGATACTTCTAAGAACTGTATGAGACAAATATTGGAAAAGGAAAATGTGGGAGAGAACGAGCAAAGCTCACAGATAGGAAAAGAACTCCCGTAAAAGATTTGGTAGAAGAATACAAAAAAAGGAGATAAAGTTTTAGAGATGTGGATGGAGTCAAGGAGCTATTTTCCACGAACTCAAAAGATATATATTCAGAGTTTGGAAAACATGAAAGACTTGCCTAACACGGATATAAAAAACGGAAGAAATAATTAAAGTGGTAACACTTTATTTTGAAATTTCCACATAACAGTTCACAAAACCGTCGCAAGTGTTTCAGTATACAATAACTTCCTCAGATGTGCTTTAAAAAAAAGAAAACACAAGCACTTCAGGAAAATCCTTAAGGCGCTCTTAGAGCGGTGCCTGTGTGATAGTAGCGATTCACATGGGATTTGAATCGCTGGAGATTAAATCCATTCGGGAAACCGTTCTCAGAATGTTTATTCCACATAAACGCCGTTCTCCAAATGAAAGAATTCTTGAATAGTGAAGGTCGAGGTGTACCGAGTTGAACCTCAAAACAACGAGCAGCCACAGTCCGTCGCGTATTTCTGATATATTTCGCTCCTGGTGGAATCAAATGGGCCAAGTCACATGAACACTTCTCGTGAAAGGGTCTATAGAAGAGAGACAAATCTCCAACCATTCTTCAGTGTTCCAGACTATCAAGGTTGTAAGTGATGTTCGCGTCTCCAGTCAGGCAGATGGCTCTTTTCTGGATAGAATCAATAATTACTAAAATATTACTGCTGTTCTGTAGATATGTTTGAAGGAGTGGTTCATCAAGTAATGAATATTTAACCAAATCAGAAATGCAGAATGATTTATTTTTTGAAATTATTTTACTTCATCTCCTGGATTATAAGTGTCACAATTAATACTTAAATTACTCATACTAACTTTTTGTAAACTATTACTAACTTCGTTCAGGAAATGTTTCAAGAAATAACTGAATTGATAAATGGAAAAAGGAAAAGAGCGATCAAAATCGGTTAACTATTCTATCAATTCCAGCTTCCTTTGGAGAATTCGACATCGGTAATACTGTTTGATCAATATACTGCGACGGGAAAATAGAGAAAATTCTCAACATTTATTTATGGCCATCCAAAATATATTATAATCTTCCTGGAGCCAGTTTGAATCTTTGGCTGATTCAAATATTTATGAGACGGTGATGAAGAAAATGGATAAAGAAAATAATCGAAAAATTTGCTCAGGCTTGCCAAGGTTCACAAGACAGAAAATTTAAATCTTTGAACAAATTGTCAAATGAAGAAGTTCACTATGGATCGGTAGGAATAATCGCAGCTGAAAGGACTCAACTCCTTCATACATCCATATAATTGAAAACTTTTAGAAAACAATTAGTAGTATTGGATGCTTTCACAAAACATGCATCATATGTTGCATGTTCCTTGATTAAGTCATCATAATATCAAATATCAAAAAAATCCACTAGCTGGATGTCAAATTATAAATAATGTTACGTTACTGGAATAGCAAAAGTTAGACTCTCAGAAGTAAACGGCAAAATATAGCTGTTCATTGACTACAGGCTCAACTTAACATACCTAAAACTTCTCTGTTTGATAACTCTTTCATTTGGAGAACGGCGTCTTCGTGGAATAAACTTCCTCAAATGGTATTTCTAGATGAATACAGTCTGTAGCGATTTGAATACAATGTAAATTGCTATTATGCAGAGGTACCGCTATAGAAGCCTTTTACGCTCAAAAAATCTACTCAACAAGAGGATAAATGACTCAAGGAAGCTTTAGGTCACCAATTTTGTAGTGAGAGATTTTCCTCCAAGTAAGAAATTATCATATACGTGTGAAACAGACTTGTAGAAACTGATGATGGCCCCTATATAATTTTTCATATTGACGAAGGCGAAAAAAAAGTAAAATAAAAGAATTTCGAATTACAATGATTATTACTTCTGGCAAGAACTTCAAATTGTTTGAAAATATCGAAGGTTCACGGTTTCTATCAAGAGAAAAACTTTGACAGTCTCCGTCCTATAGAAGTAAAAAATACCGAACGTTCTAGGATTTTCCACCGCAGATATGTCAGTTAGACATTGTATTTCTTACCAATTATCTCCCGCGAGAGGCAATAAATAACCTATATTCTCTGAACAGCACGAGAACTTAAAGTTCAAGTTATAGTTGAACTGAAAGTTTTTCAAATTAAAAAAATCTCACTGGCAATATTAAATTGTTATATCAACACATTTGAGGTATTTGGTGCTTTATTTATCCAAATTTGGAGTTAAGTTCGACGTGACTTAGTGACATTTTCATGCAATAGGATTTGGAAGGGAAAAGAAGTGCTACACTTCGAATTTTCACTACGTCAGAATCTCAGTGTTTTGTTTGGTTAGAATAGAGTTTATTCAAGTAACACTACATTCAAGTACACTAGACTCTCACAATAAAGTGTTTCACATTTTCCTCAAGCTTTTTCATACTATAAAAATACCTAAGGAAGGTATTGTATAGCGAAACATGTTTTGCGGTTTTGTAAACTGTCCTGTAGAAATCTCACAATAAAGTGTTACTCAATTAAGTTATGAATTTTCATCAAGTATCGGCCAGTTTTATCACATATCAATGTAGGGTGAATTCGAAGTATAGTATTACATAAAAAATGTTCTCGAAACTTGTAGTTTTTCAAGTTAGAATTGAATTATGTCAGGGCATTCTTAGACAAAAGGATCTTAACAGTTGAATGAAAAAACAGCTGCCTACAGCAAAAATCAAGAGTATCAACAAAGTTTAACCTATTTTTGCATTATCAAATATATAAATGTTTTCAACGTTAGACACTATAAAGTACCTTGAAAATAATAGTAATTCAAGGAATTTCAGTCACGTTTTCGTAATAAACATTCAGCTCTTGCAACTCAACAAAGTGGAATGGAGTGACAGCTGAAGATAATT